GTGGTAGCTGTTAAAATATCAGGTATGTGATGTGTAGAACGGACGGATTGATTCTCCAAAACCTCTCCGGGGCCAGGTCCTAAATACAGTACAAAATCAGGTGGCTGAAGAACACGGTGGCTGGGATGCGCGGGGGCCACATTTCGACAGTAGCGATGGTAGTAATAGTCATGGTAGTGATAGTCATGGTAGTGCCAGCCATGGTAGTACCAGCCATGATAGTACTAGCCATAGTAGTGCCAGCCATGATAGTGCCAGCCATAGTAGTGCCAGCTATGATAATATCAGCCATAGTAGTGCCAGCTATAATAGTGTCAACTATAGTAGTATCAGTCATAGTAATACTAGCTATAATAATATTAGCTATAATAATATTAATTATAATAATATTAATTATAATAATATTAATTATAATAATATTAATTATAATAGTATTAATTATAATAATATTAATTATAATAGTATTAATTATAATAATATTAATTATAATAATATTAGCTATAATAGTATTAGCTATAATAGTATTAGCTATAATAATATTAGCTATAATAATATTAATTATAATAATATTAATTATAATAATATTAATTATAATAATATTAATTATAATAATATTAGTTATAATAATATTAATTATAATAGTATTAATTATAATAGTATTAGCTATAATAATATTAATTATAATAGTATTAGCTATAATAGTATTAATTATAATAATATTAGTTATAATAGTATTAGTTATAATTAATTAGAATAATAACTAGAATAGCTACTTATACTTCTAAATATAGAAATTCTAATAAGATATCTTATATATATATTATTTTATAATATAATACTATAGATATATTATATTAGATATGAAATTATATAAATATTAATATTCTATACTATATTAGAATATAATATAGTAGATTAATATTTTATATTATATTATATCTTTTCGATTAATAATTATAAATATAAGATAGAAGAAGTTATAAAATTAAAGTTTTTAATATACTAGCGCTATCTATTAATAGAGTAATAAATTAATAAAGAAGAATATATTAAATAAGAGAATTATACTCTTAAAAGATCTTAAATCTACTTTTAATAACTAAATAAATATTAACTTATTAAAGATAAAACGAATTTTAAATATTATTATAAAAATTTATTCTAAGTTAATAGATAACGTCTCTCGTCTTATACTTTAATACTCTTATCTTCTTTCGATAAATTAGTAAGATAAAGTAATCGAGACGATATAAAAGATTCTACTATCGCTCGACTTTACGATTAGAAGATAGAACTCGCTCTCTTTTAATTCTTCGAGAAAAGATAATAAGATAATATAGAGCGTAGATAGTAGAAAAAGATTAAGATTAAATATTCGAAGAGATTAATATTAAGTTTTATAAGAAAACGCGAAATATTAGATAATACGAATTTTTTTAATTCGATATATTTAATTTAGATAACTATTATTATAATAACTATTACTATTATTAATTTAAATAGCTTATTATTATAATAATCGTCGTCTATATATTTTCATATAATAGATATTTCTATCTTAAACGTAGATATAGTTTATTTTTATTCTATCGATATATATATCTAAATAATATTCGATATTTTAAAGACTTTAAAGTATTATAAACTTTATTATAATAATAATAAGATAAAAGAGATAAAAGAGATAAAAGAGATAGATAAGATAAGATAAGATAGTAGAGAAAGAGATACGATTTTTATAAAGTAACGAGTAAAGGCCTATAAATTAAATTTATAATTATTTTTTTAATTAAGACTATCGAGTAAATAGATAAGCGATCTTTAGTGAGCGAACTTTAATAAGCGATATTTGAATTCCTTGCGCTTTAATAATTATAAGACTATATTTAAGAATTCTTTTTTTATCTAAAAGCCTATATTTTATTCTATAATTAAAAAAAAAAATCTTAAAATTTTAATAGAAAATAAAAAAGTTATTCTAAAATCAAATAATGTATATCTATTTTTTAATTAGAGAGACGCGGAAGAACGAGATGTTAATAGTTATGAACGCTAATTTATTAATATATATAAAAGAATAAGATAGAACTAAGCTTAAAAATCTTGAATTTATATATATAGTTAATTATTAATTTAGGGTTACTACGCTCTTTAATTAGATCGACTAAGTTAGCTTAATAGCTCTCTCGCGCCTTTCTTATTAAAAATTTATATATAGAAGTTTTATACTTTAAAGTACTTAGCTTACGATATATATAGATACTTTATAATTCCTTAAATTATAAAGCTCGCTTTACGCTTTCTTATTCTAACGCTATAAAAATTATAAAGTTTAATCTATTATTAATAGATTAAATAAATATTTAAATATAATAGTTATAATAGTTATATTAGACGCGTCCGAGATCGAATAATAATTCTTTTATCTATTTATTATATTTCTTCTATAATTCTATTAATTCATTAATTATAAATATATTCGCTCTCGATATCTCTTATTTAAATATTGCTAAGTATCTAAGATATATATCTCTTTCGCCCGTCTTTTAAATTTCTTATTAACGTCTTTACTACTAATAATCGAGGCCGTAAGCGAGTTTAATAGCTATTTACTATTACTTATAAACGCGTTAAAAAGCTCTTAAAAAGAGTCTAAACGGATTTATAGCTATTGTTCTTCTCTATATACTTCTTCTAAGTTAGCGATACTTAATTAATCGCTTAATTAATACTATCTACTCTATTAGCTTAATAATCTACTTAGTTAAATTATTAATTAATTACTTAGTTATTTACTTAATTATTTACTTAGTTAACTACTTAGCTAGTTACTTAATTTAATACTTTATAAGAGAAGAAGTAAGAGAAGAAATTATAATAGATAAATGCGAAGAATACTACGGAGAAATTAAGCGGTAATAAGACTATTATCGTTAAGAATACGACTTAGCTCTTTAAGATCCCACGTTATATACTCTCTACGATTCTATATTAAATTATTACTTAGTAAGCGAAGAATACTACTATAACTTAGTCTATTATCTCTATTATATTAATATAATATATTACTATAATAACGTTAGAAACTATAATAGATAAATGCGGAGAATACTACGGAGAATACTACGGAGAAATTAAGCGATAATAAGATTACTATCGTTAAGAACACGACTTAGCTCTCTAAGATCCCACGTTATATACTCTTTACGATTTTATATTAAATTATTACTTAATAAGCGAAGAATATTACTATAACTTAATCTATTATTCTTATTATATTAATATAATATATTACTACGAGTAAAGGCCTATGAATTAAATTCATAATCATTTTTTTTTGATCGGGGCTGTCGAGTAAATTTTGATGAGCGATCTTTGGTGAGCGATATCTGAATTCCTTACCTTTAAATATCTATAAGACTAAATTTAGTTATTCTTTTTTTATCTGAAAGCCCACATTATACTCTATAGTTTAAACAAAAAATTTTAAAATTTTAATAGAAAACAAAAAAGTTATTCTAAAATCAAATAATGTGTACCTGTTTTTTTTTGATCAGGGCTGTCCGGCTGTCGAGCGAACTCTGGTGAGCGATATTTGAATTCCTTGCGCTTTAATAATTATAAGACCAAATTTCAAAATTCTTAAAAATTCGGAAAGCGCAGACTGCGTTCCAAAATTTAAAATTTAAAATCTCAAAAAGTTAATAGAAAACAAAAATGTTTTTCTATATGTTAATAATGTACACCTATTTTTTTGATGGTTGCGGACGCTAATTTGTTTACCCGTGGTGTCTAACCAAAAAGCGTAGACCTGACGAATTGATGATTGGCTGCACATACAAATTCAAGGTTTTCTAGTTCAGCCCTATCTTATTCTTTTATATATACTGATAATAACGTTATAAGAGAAGAATCTACTACGACGATTATAGTTAATTAAGTCTCTATAGAAGAAATATCGAATAATATATATTTAAACGAATTGAAATCGTTTAATATCTTACTCTAATAGCTATTTTATTATTCGAAGGATTTTACTGCGATAGAAGATAATATAGAATTTATATCACTAATTAGCATGTTATCTTTATTTCTTTTCGATATTTTAATACTTCTTATTATAAGAATATAGTCTTTCTCTATTTTTTATAGATAATTATTATAAATTAATTCTTTATACTCGATATACCTTTCTAATTAAGTCTTAGCGCGCCTCTCTCCGTATATATATATCTATATATTATATAGATTAAATTAATTTTATAATAATAAAAGTAAATTAAAAACGTATAGTAAGCGATTAGAGTTCGATTTAACTTAGAGCTAGAGCTAAAATTCGATTTAACTTAGAAAAATTTAACTCTATAAATTTAATTTATAGGCCTTTACTTATTTATTTATAATAACTTAGTCGATCTAATTAAAGAGCGTAGTAATTCTAAATTTATAATTAACTACATATACGAATTTAAGATTTTTAAGCTTAGTTTTATCTTATTCTATTATATATACTAATAGATCGATAAGGTTTAAAAAATAATAAATTAAATTTTTCGATATAGAAGTCTTAATAGTAAGAAAGAATTAGAATCTTTTATTCTTATTATATAGAGTTATTATAGAATTTTAATAAGTAGTAGATATTTCAGTATTGAATCGGACTTATCCGATTTAAAAATTTCGCATTTTCTATTATTTCGCGTTTCCTTATGAAATTAAGTAAGGTAGCGGCTGGTAATCCGTATCATGAATGAAAATTTTATCTGAACTTCCCTTCTCTACCATGCTTTAGCGGCGTATTCTTCCGGTAACGAAGGTATCTATGAAATGGGCGTGTTCAATTGAGAGAAGAAAGTAGTATCATTGATATGCATGCATGTTTGAAATTCACAAGTACAAAGCGAACCCGCGCTTATCGTCCAGTCTTTGAGGCTCTATCATCATCCCATTCAATTTTCCCTGGTTCCTCCTCCTTCTTCGCCTCTACCTGCTCTGTCTCTTTATTCGGAGTTTTTCTTTCCCTCTTCTTCTTCTTTCCCTTCTTCCTCATCCTCCTCGTCGTCCTCCTCCTCACTCTCGGAAGTACTTGCTTCGCTCTCTGTTGGGTATTCGGGTCCGATGGATAAGAATGGATGAGCCGGGGGGTGTATACGCTCCCTGGAATGATGACACTTATAGCAAAGATCGAAGGTCAGGCACTTCTCGCAATGATATCGGATTCCGTGAATGAACTATATATGCCAGCGTCAACAAATGGTGCAGGAGGGATTTGGAAAAGAATTGTGCTGGGACGAAGACCGCTAGTGGAATCACCACGAGGTACCTACCGAACAACAGTAGTCACACCATGCTGTTTTCCTATCTGCCTGTCTCTCTACATGGGAATGCTTATGCCATAATTCACTAGCCTTCGTGGCACCGAGCTTTTCTTTTGCCTTTCCCTCCAGTAACTGAACGACCGTGTCAACCACGCCATGGTATCTAGCAATCTTGGCCGGAGACCACTCCCACTTCAGACCTTTGGTCGTAACGCATGGATCCGCGCCACGGTCCAGTAAGAGTTTGATGACTTCCTTTTGGGCACTCGGCAAGACTTGTTTTAGAGTAGTATTGCTGCCCCTCGCCGCCCATAGCAAAGGAGTCCAGCCATCAAGATCAGGCTGATTCACCAACCGCCTCGATAAAGATATAATATGATTAACAACGTGGACCATGCCGCTGACAGAAGCCCAATGTAGTGCTGTTCTACCCATCTTATCGACTACCTCAACATCCGCTCCCGATTCGAGAATTGCGTGAAAGACTTCTATGCTCCGCGCCGCTGCGAAGTGGATGGCCATTCTACCCATATCATCTTTGTCATCAATACTCGTGCCCTTCTCGAGCATCAGTCTCACAACATCGAAGCTTGACCTTCCGCAAGCTGCGTTGAGCGCACATCCATGCAAACCGCCAACGATGCCGAGATCTGCGTTAGCTTCGTTGATAAGATAAAAGATGACACTCTCCTGCTGCTCCTTGGACGTCTCTAGGCCGCGGCACGCAATCTGCAAGGGTGTTCCGGCAACAGGATCAACAAGATTCACTTCTGCGCCTATATCAACGAGGATCTTCACGAGGCGGAGATTGAGAAGGTAGCAGGCGATGTGCAACGGGCCGCCACGTATGCCCCCTACAATGTCAAGCTTGGCTTTCTTTACAAGATAAATCAATACCTCCGGAATATTGCACCATACTGCCTTGCAGACTGGCGTATCTTGGTTTTTATTGCGGAAGTTGACGTCTGCGCCAGCGTTGACCAAGATTCTGGCAGTTGTGATAGAGGTGTCAGAGTTTATACAGTGGAGCGCGGTGTCGCCATTATCATCAACGAGATCGATCTTAGGTCTGTATTCCATTAGTACCCGAAGAACATTTTCCATGTTTCTTTCAACAGCAAATTGCAAGGGAAACTTATTCCGCTCAGATTGGTGGTTAATGTTCGCTCCGGCTTCTAGGAGTAATCGGATAACCTCAGGGTTACCTGACTTCGTAGCAACGGTCAGTGCCGAGGCTCCTTCCGCCGAAAGAAGCTCCAGGTCAGGGCTGTACGACAGGAGCACCCTCACGACATCGAAAACCCCGCTGTAGGCCGCAAGGAAGAGTGGAGTGGAGCCCTGCTTCGTGACACTATTCACGTCTGCGTCATTCTTCAACAAGACACGGGTCGTCTCGGCGTGAGAATAGCACGAATGAAGGGGTGTCCAGCCATCCAAAGAGTGATGTTCCAGGTCTGCTCCTCCGTCGATCAGAATTTGGACAATGTCCGCAAACCCGAGGTGAGCAGCAAGGATAGTCGCAGTGCAGCCGTTGCCATCCTCATGGTAGACATTGGCACCCTGCTCAAGTAGATATGCTACCAGAGCTTTATCTCCCTTCATCGAAGCTTTTTGAAGCGCGTCCTGGTCTTCTAAATCAGTGACATTGATCTCTGCTCCATGCTCGATGAGCACCTTGATAAGTTCGAGATTTCCGGTCTTGGCGGACTCAGAGAGAATAGGAATGCCGTCAAAGGATGTATTTGGATTAGCTCCGTGTGTGAGCAACAGCTGGCAAAGCTTAACATGGCCATTCAGAGCAGCGTGGAAGAGTGGCGTTCCAATTTCTACTTCCTGAATCTCTGTATTTGCATGGTTCTCGAGTAGTAATTGGGTACACTTATAGAAGCCATAGTAGGAGGAAATTGATAAGGGCGGGAATCTGCCTTGCCGGATAGAACCCATGTTACATTCTGACTTCATGAGCAGCATTTTGACGACCACGTGACTACCGTTCCTACAGGCGATATATAGCGCAGTATTTTCGTTCTTATCTATGGTGGTATAGTCGGCACAGGCAGCCAGAAGGAGGCTGAACACAGTGGCTTGGCTATACTTAGACGCAATATGTAGTGGAGTTAGGCCAAGTTCATCCAGAGCTGTAAGGCTGGCCTTATTATATAACAAGACTTTGACGACTTCTGCGTGTCCATGTCGAGCTGCGAGGTGCAGTGGCGTCCAGCCATGCAGCGTGGCTGCCGCTTCAAGTGAAGCTCCGCACTTGAGTAGGCGCTTGATCACATCATTTAGCCCGAATTGCGCTACCCGACATAGGAGAGTAGGTGGCCATTTGAAGCTCTCGCAACGCTGCTCAATGTGTGTGATCAGCAAGCCCAGAACTGACTCATCGCAACGAGAGGATGCGGCGATAAGCGCGTCTTCTAGATTCGATTGACTGTATTCGCTATCGAGAAGGAGTGTGCGAACGATTTCTAAGTCCGTATTCTGTGCTGCCTCTGTCAACGCTATGGCACAGTCCTCATTGTGATTCGGCTGAGTCCCTGGGTCAAGCCATTCCATTAATAGATCCTCTAGACCCAGCCCTGCTAGAATGGGTAGCCTGGACTTGAATACGCTTTCTGTTTGTCTTGTCGGCCTGCATAATGACCAGTATGCTTGAGTCCAAAGCCGCACAGCATTTGTATCCCGGCAAAACTCAAGAGCACTTTCCAGTGGTCGATTCGATCTGGGGATGAGCTGGTAATGCCTTGCCCAATACTTAATTGCGTACAAGCAGAGACTGGACCTCAGATTGAGGGTTGGTGATTCGAGTAGATTGGTGAGAAAGTAGTTGTAACTTGTTTCCATAGACTCGTGCACCCGTGGCAGAGAGAGATAGAAGAAGCAGGTCTCGGTTATCTGTTGATGTGCTGCTTCTTTCACATCATACCAGGCACACTTTTGGGCATTACTCTCGTTCTGAAGAAAGTCGCGTGCGCCGGGATGGCTAAGATGGACTTCGTTGTTTTTGACGATAAAAATGCCCTTGAAAACCTCTTCAAGCTCACCAGTGATATCTTGGGAGACGAATGCGTCAAGATCTCCAGTTCTCATGCAGAGGCTCTCACCTTGAAGCGTAAGAGCAGCACCGAGTTCCCACACGGATAAAGGATGAAATGAGTATAAGGTCCAGATTAGTACCTTCCGAGCCCAATGCTGTCTTTCTAACGGAATGCTTGCTAGAACTCGAACAAAGATCTCCTGAGATGTAGTGGGAGGTAGAACGTCAAGCTGCCGTTCAGTCGCTGATCTTGTGAGCGGACCTTTGCTAAACCTGAGCTGGTTCAGAACCAGACGGCGCCAGTGCCTATCTCGCCCACATTCCAAAAGCTTCTGAGTGATTCTCTTTTTGAAGCCGTAGAAGTTTGGTCGATGCCGAATGAGTTCTATGACTTCAAGATCAACATCTAAAGCTATCGTCCTGCTATCACCTTGAGCATCCTCTCGATGATCGTCAAGGTTGATAGTTGGCCAGTCACCAAGCACTGAGTGGAGATTGCTACTAGTGCTACTGGTGATAGCGACCTTGAAATGTCGCTCAGTGTGACTGGCAAAGCTACAAATATCTTTTAGAAATGAGGTGCACGGACTGTCACATTCGTCCATGCTATTGATCACGCACATAATGCCACCGTGCTCATGACTGGACAGTATATCTCGGAAGAGCAGCTTCCAGTCTGTTTCGGTCCAGTTTGAACTGTGAAACATGTGGTCAAACTGTAGCCTCACAGCTTTATAGACCTCTTGGCGTTCGCTGAAGATCTGAAGCATGAGCGTATTCAGCATGGTGACTATCGAGTTGAATCGTTCATCGTGTTTCTTGAAAGTGAAATATGTGACGATTTCACCCTTATGCTGTCGGATGGGATCCATATTCAAAGACCTAAAAATGTGTCCAGAGGCATTGGACATTCCGCTAGTTCCATGGACATGGAGTATACTAGGTTGTTGGCTGTTGATCCACGTTTTGTATGCCTTGTGTTCCGTAATCCATCTTAATCGACGTCCCGTATCGGTCGAAGGCCCAATTGGGTATACCGGAGCAGCGAGAGACCAAAGAGTCTGCAAGAACTTGAAAGAACCGTCACTGGCCACTAGCGCTACAGTTGTCTATTAGGGGCGGCCTTCGTGTTCTTCATAGGATGTATAACATACGAGAAGCAGTCTTGCGTAGCTGTTTGACTATGCACCCATATATATCATCGCTGAGAGTCATCTTACACAAGCTCATATGGGATCTCCAGCATGCAACCCGCCTCTCAAGCGGCAGGTCTAGAGTGGACGTAAAGGTGTCAAATATCTGCCCTATTTAGTCTTTCGGTCCGGATAGACAGTAGCTTATGAATGATAGCCTTTATGCTGCAACTCACCCTTGAAAGAATCTCTTGCTCCTCAGAATATATGTTCAATATGTTGGCGATCAATGGTGTTTTCAAGGTCAAAAAAGCCTCATTGATCTCAATGATCGACTTGCTTAGCTCTCTGATGGTGTTTGCGATATCGCACGGGCACACAGTTTTATTAGCGAGAATTAATCTGGCCATACTGTCTTCCAGTTCTCGAGTGCTACTGCACCTGTGCGGACAGCCAAAAAAGATCTATACCATATTAGTAAACGCCCTTCCCATGCTACAGCAGCCTGGAAAAAGTTTCGCACCAGACACCGGGCCCAGTCCTTAATATCCTTATACTTGCTGTTCTCCAGCGTTGCGATCCATAGAGCCTATGCGGACTATCAGAGCTGTGTTTGCATTGTGACCATGGCTTAATGAAAGACCGACTTGCAAGTATCTTACCGTTTTGACAACAATACCTCCCAGGTCATGAGTGATGAACACGATTGGACGCCGCGTATCCTGTGGTACGAGATATTAGCTGGCTGTCCCATTCCAATACTCATGACCAGATTCCACAGGATATATACAGCGACTAGATCCAGTCCTCTTCTTAGCTCGACGAGATCATCCAGCAACTGCAAGGCCGCATCCTTAAAGCGCCCCATCTTGCAGAGTCCTGTCTCAAATCTACTCGAATCATAGCCAAAAGTCATTACCCGGGAGCTTGGGTTATCTTCGTATATCTGGTGGAGCCACTGGCTCCCTGGCTGCTGGTTTGATTCCTCTAGCATCCACGTACTTTCACGGTCGCCGTGAATACCGTGGACAGCTACAACACTGTCCAAATCTTAGAGATTACGACTAAAATGCAATGACTGATCAGAGCTGGAGGGCCGGGGCCTTACTCGAAAGGCACTGAATCGTATGCTTTGGGAACAGAATTTGAAAGTGACCCAGCTATAACCAGCATACCTCCTTGCTCCTTTACCTTATGACTGGATGTTCTGTCGTGCGTCATGTCGTCCTCAGCATTCACAGTCGAATTTTTCGTGACCTCTGTTATCGTCTGATTTTCTGCCTCTGCTTTTGCCTCCGATCGCGCGTTTTCCTCCAATCTTGGCTTTGGTTTGGTGTCACCCTCCGGCATCATGGCTACAAGGGTTGTATACCTTCCACGAGAGGGACGCAGTCAGGCTGAAAATGGCGTAGAGAGAAATGGTGATTGCACATCAAATACCTGATCATCATTCGTTTAGCATCCGTACCCTTGCTCACTTTGTTTCATAGGTGGATGGTTTTGAGGGAATATATTTCGTTGATGCATCTCCGTGGGGAAGCTGCGCCGGTAGGTGTGGACCCCACCCAAAGATCTGCATTGGCGATCATATCCGGACCAGTACTCCCTGTCTAAGGTCCTGCTGTGTCACGTTGTCGGTACCAATGGGAAGATCAATCATTGCACCTGCAGCAAGTCTCTTCGGAATTTCTTCCGCTTCTGCATATGCAAATGGGAGGATCGGTGGATAGGTAAGATGATCGAGATAATGAGCAAGGCAGGGTAGCTATAGCCGATTCACGCATTTGGCTACCAGGGATCAATTGCTTCATGTTCAGTGGTGTGGCACGGAATCTAATCAAATGCTCAATGCTTGCCTGCCAAACACATTTTCTGTCTTACATTTCTCATGTCTCCACATGTCGAGGTGCAGGTTCTAGAATCTTTTCTCCAACCTGCAGTTTTCAGCCGTAGACGTGACGGCTTATTCATCTTATCGGGAAAGAAATAGGTCTATATGAAGGGAATTGTCTTCTAAATGCTCTTTCTGCTTCGTACCCGAGCTCCTCCCAGCCGCCCACGGTCCCCGTTCCAACGTCAAGATCAAGTCATTAGTCTAACATGATGCCAGACGAGCATGCCAGCCTTCAATCAGAAGATTGGACCCATCTTGACGAATACGACTCCGAAGAAGACCTCTCAACCAGCCAACTCCCTTCTTTCGACATCGGCCTCTTCAAGACCGGTGATGCAGGCAGCCACTTCCGCACTGAGAACGACCCCTCAGATCCCTGGCAACGAGCCAACATCATTGAACGCAAGGGCGCCGTTGACATCCGCTGCTCGTGTCTCGATGTAGTCCATGGCGATTTCTCTGCTTCCAGCGACCTTTTCGCCACCCTAATCGTGTTACAATTCCGCTTCGATCCGCGTAAAGTGGCAAGAAGATTTCAGTCTGTCAATATCGAGCTAGAATTCAAGGGCATGGAGATCAAAGAGACCGGGCCAGAAGTCTTTGCAATCGCCCCCAATGGAAGGATGAGTTTGGTGCCAACAACACAGCATGAAGATACGAAGCGAAATCTGAATTTGCAATTAGGGGGAGCAGCGCCCATTGGGGGATTGACGGCAACAGGAACGGTAGGCTGGGAAAAATCTTTGAGTAGAGATACGAAAGATCAAACGACCGTGACAGGATCCATTGATCTGAAGGGGAGGAACTACGGGCCTTCGAACTGTGTATCCTGGACTCTGCTGGAGAACAAGACTACTGAAACAGGGGTTCCCGCGTTGATGCAGACGGCGATACTTCTAAAGCGGAAGCATGAAAACCCTTTTCAATGCGTGGTCAAGATTGACGCTAAGGTCGATTTCTGGAGTACTACTGAGCGAGTATTTGGGCTCAAGGGGAGGGCACCAAGAGACGATCCTGTCTTGTTCGATCCTAGTTTCCCCTCGACGTCAAAATTGCGGAAATACAATGAGAAGGAATTGGGGTCATTTGAGATGGAGAGCGTGTGCGACGTGACCTTCATGACTACCCTTGACGATGTCATGAAGACTAAAACCCAGTAAGGAAACTTGTCCTCATGATGGCTACTTGTCTATTTGGCGAGAAAGATATATCTGAATTTCAGTATGTGTGCTTGACACAACGAGTCGCAAAAGCCGATGCCGCGAGGCTCGGGTTCCCTCTGTGTTAGATTCATTAGATGTGCGACTACGAAATTCCAACTCAGAGACTCCGTAAGTAGATAAGCCTAGGCTCTCTCGATGCTGTTACATATCTCGTGCATGATTAACATGAGTGGAGACTCAGGAACTTGGCGCTGGCGTTTATCGAATCCCACGAAAACGTAATTGCAGCAATCATGCGAGGCTCCTAGTGCTTACTGTACTCTGCCAAGATGACTGATGCTTTGAGAACGAAACCGCAGCTCTTGCCGAGGGTGGGTGAACAAATGGGGCAGCTTGCAGATGATGGAACCATCGTTATCTTGGAGTCTACCTATGGATACTTTGGATCAATTTATGAGGCCATGTTCTATCTAGTGGTCTAGACTCTTCTCTAGTGCACCTCTCTGAACAAGATTACCCTCCAGATTCTCTGGCTTCTTTATGAGACTGACTCATTACAGTGCATTTGGATTGGAGAAGTCAAAATTGTTTGAATCGGACTCAGCATGATGTCGGCCTTTTTTATGGAGAGTCCTATTGATACCGTCAAGGAGTCAGGCTTAGAGAGTGAGAACAGTTCTGATGAGGAGGACACTCACTCTATCTTCCAGGCTATCAAAGAGAAGATCGATCGAAATGAAGTCGATTTGCGTGATCGCGAGAAACTCGAAAAATTCGCCCATAAATACGGAGACTACCTTGGAGATAGTACCTCAGAAGAACACGACAAAAAAACACTTTTGCATCTGCTTGTGGACGGAGCAACAGACCAGAATTTTGACAAGTACGAACCGCTTGCGAAATTTGTTATCAGCAATCACCCGAATACTCTGAAAGAAAGCGACAGGGTCGACGAGACTTCCTTGTATTGTGCCGTCTCGAAGAAACGCAACGAGCTCGTTCGACTCATGTGTAACACGCACCCCGATATCAACAGTGTTCTCGAAAGAGTCTGCTCGAGCAATAAAGAAACTTGCATCCATGCTGCGATCCGTAAGAGTGTTACGCCAGAAATTGCTGTTTTTCTTATCAACAAGGCAAGTAAAGAAGTTCTCTGCCTTCAAGATACTCAGGGCAATACCCCGTTGCATCTAGCAGTGGAATACAAGCGCTGCACCAAGGAGCAGCTACAAGTCGTGGAGACACTTGCAAAGCGATGTAAAGGGGCGATGTACAAACGGAGCAAAGGTGAGGCATGCCTTTCCCCGTACTTGTATCATATGCGCACTCGTGCAGAGGCGCAGGCAGCTCCGGTCGTAACCGAGGTCGCAAAGGAGAAGAGAAAAGGCAACTCTCAGAGGAAGATACACGACATCAATGTTGTCGATAGGGATAGTCTGATAGGAAAAGATGGCGAGGGCGGAAACCTCAAGACTAATTATACGGAGGAGTTGAAAGCCTTAGGCCCTTCCGTAGGCTTCAGCCGACAGAGAAAGCCTACTCTTGGAAAACCGCCAATGAGTCCTCTTGGTGCATTCAATCAAACATCGTCGATGAGACATGGACCTCTGAGTCCGTCTTTTGGCGTTCCCCGAAGTGGCGAGTGGACACAGGGATCGGACGAACTTCCGAGAGACCGCAAGGATGGCTATTCGAGGACTCTCAGTCGACAAGACACAATTTCGAAGAAATCCGAGAAACCGAGGAAAAGGAAGAAGCAGGAAAATAATAGACTCCCAAAGGTCACAGATGCAAGCGCAGACGCCGTGAAAGATCTCCTGATGTTGCACTGCATGCGCACGATGAAGACTGAGGATGCGGAGGATTTTCTCTACGGCAAGGACCAAGGTGAGTTCCCTCGTGCAGCTAGTTGGTGAAACGGGTCTTGTACAGGTTAGCTCCTAACGACGGGATGTTTTATGCATAGGGAAAGAAATTTGTTTCGATTTGTGCGACCAACTTTCTTTAGAAATTACTGAAGACCAGATCTACCAAGGCTTCGCCCCTCTGGAATTTGAGAGCGTCTTGCAGTATGTCGCTTTCCCAAATCTGCAAATTAAAAAGAATTCCCCCCGTCCTCAGAGAGGAACGTCCGTCAGACGAGGCGGCAACGGCCGCGATGACATGACGATTCTGTTCGAGTTCCTCCGGACGAAGAGAGTCAAACGCATCGTTCGTGTTATTGTAGCCGATAGAGATAACAACGCACATAGTGATGCTGCGGTGGAGATTGCTTTGAGAACCTTCAGCGTGGAAATCTGGGACTGGCAGAAGTTCGATATATGTACAGAGACAATTGCGTTGGCCGCGCCAGATGTGGAGGAGATGCATCTCTATTGGAGTGGCAACAATGCTGTCTTATGGGGATGGAGCGACAAGGAGGTCTTGAAGCGAATGAATTCGTTAAAGAAGATATATTTGCATACCACTCAGGTATTTGCATCAGCACCAAACCCGAGACCTCCATGAACTTGAAGGAAGCTAATGCACCATACACTCACATAGGGACTTGAAGCCGCCCACCGCACCCTGGAAAATGTCTCCAAGTATAAAGACCGCATAGCAATTCGTTGCCCTCATGTCTCAATCGAGTTGATCGACGAAACTTCTCCCCAAAAGCATGAATCCAGCAATACTCACACTAACGCAGAGCGGGAACAGCTTGAGATTCGCCATCGGTGGCTGATATGCATGGACGACTTCGCCGACTTTATGCGAAATTTGCAGTATCCTAGTACGTCCTATAAACCGGTAAAAATAGCGCTAATAGATGATGGTGTTGACATGAAAGAGGACGCTCTGCATGGGAAAGTCCTCGGAGGAAGGAGCTTTTGTTTGAGGGACGAGCAGAAGAACTTGAATAAGTCTTTCTATTTGAAGAGCGGTGGACATGGGACAGCCATGGCAAGCTTGATATGCCGAGTATGTCCACACGCAAAATTGATTGCGCTGAAATTAGACGAGTACCTCGGCCAGAATCTGGAGAGGCAAATCACCGCGAAAAGTGCCGCGAAGGTATGAGCCCATTCAGAGATCCGGATGTAGGTTAACTATCTTTCTGATATTTGAGCAATAGGCCCTTCAATATGCTGTAGAGAGAGAGGCTGACATCATATCCATGTCTTGGACAATCGAAAAGACAGATGAAAACAAATCCGATATCGATGCTCTGGAGCAGGCGGTCCAAGACGCTGCAAACAAAGGAATCCTGATGTTTTGCGCGGCCAGCGACGGCGGTGCCCAGAGCGATCGAAGTTTTCCCGCTAGGTCCCTAAAGGAAAAACTCTTCAAAATTGGTGCGGCGACAGAAGAAGGCAGCAAATGGAAATGGGTTGGAAATGCGACAAATGTCGATTTCATCTTCCCAGGCCACAAAGTCGTTAAGGAACGCTATAACGAGGAGGGCCCTATACAAAGTTGCAACCTCTTGACAGGCTCGTCGGTAGCAACAGCCATAGCAGCAGGTCTTGCGGCACTCATCCTAGATTGTGTCCAACGTGCTGCATTGTACTACGAGAAGTTGCTTCATGACCAGAGGACACTCAACTCAACCCGGCCACCAACCCAGAGGGACGGTTCAGAGATCACAGAAATTCCCCGTGATCCCGAGGCGGACTTGAGAGCGCAACGGAGCAAGGTCGAGGTCGACGAAGCGATCCAAAGAGCGGAGAAAGTGCTGCGGGAGGATTACGACAACCTCAAGGGTCATGACAAGATGTATGAGGCATTTCGCAAAATCGGATTGACAGAAAACAGGTATGTCAAGGTGTGGGATGTCTTCCAAAAGGCGCACATAGAAGCTGTGGGAAAGACGCCGGAAGATAAAAATGAGATATTGTCCCGAATTGCGCAGCGTCTGAAAGGAGGAGGTTTTCAAGATCAGTAGGTGAGAGTGATACTGGTGGTTTCAACTTCATATCCCTCACTTCCGAAAGCAACCTTCCAGAGCGAGGGCTCGAGTTCATCGAATACTACGAAGCTTGGTCTATCCCATCGTCTGGCAGGGGGTAAAATTCAGGGGTTCCGACCGAACATCAAAAAACACCCCCATAGCATGTTAGTGTAATTCAATGACGTCTGCTTTCACACAAAATACTTAGTGTCGCGATCAATCTTTATAAGCAGATCTAAGATTTATTTCTTTACTTTATAAATATTAAGAGATTTAATAATTAAGTTTATTATTCTCTAATAAGTATTAATTAGAAAGTATTATAATTCTTCGATAAAGTCTTTTACTACGCTATAGAAATAGCTTTATTACTTATAATTGTTACGAGCGTACCCTTGACACACCCCTCAGCCCTATGGCTAGCGGGCCTTGGCGGAGGCATCCCCTACCATATCATGCCTCCTTCCCACATACATAGTTCGGTAGCCTTATTATCCTATTCTACCTCACCCATATGACGTACCTCTATGCTGGTCCTGACATTATAATAAGGCTCCTTCGTACACCCGGCGAAGAGAAACACATACGGGCCAATCAACGCACACTCACGCCCATTCGGATTAGCGGACGAATGGTTAATAAACAAACGCGCTGGCAAGGGCTTTGTCAAGATACTAACTTGAGACCAAGACACCACGACCGGTTGAGGTCAAGACAGGAACTTGAGGCATCGTATCCTTGGGTCAGCCCACCAAACGGGTAATTCGTTTCGGCATGACGGAACGGCCTCTGGACAGCAGGAGGGATAAAGCACCGCTGGACCATTCGTAGGATTAGCGAATCGAAAAGAACTCATCAAAACACCCCACAGTGAGCCTGCTACAAGGCGACGGGAACAGACCCGAAACACAGCAAACGTACGATCTCTTCACTGAGCATGTCGACAACACACATAGTGAGCCTGCTACCAAATGGCATTCAACACATTCGATTCTTATCACCTACCTCCTATCAAACTCTACGACAAAGGATGGAATGGATGGACTTGATGGCAAGAGCATGGGAGACACAGGGCAAATCTACAGTGCAGCTCCCAGGCCAGGCTGCCAACGGGTGTTGGAGGTGGATTCATGACACATGCATGCGTTGGACTTTCTTCAATTCTACCGAAGGACTATGGCAAGAAGGACTATGGCAAGAAGACTGGGCAAGGAGAAGAACTCGGAGAATCTTGCTGGTACGCAGGCAAGATGTGGCTATATCTCCAGGATCTCTGAAGGATATGGCAGGCATGGCACAGTCAAGACCAGCATGCGGCCCGGCAAAACCTCGGACATGGTGTTTTTGAACGAATTGAAACCATCCGATGTTCTTCAGAAAATCGATCGCCAAGACTCGGATTTTGACTGCTGCAGCAATACCATACCTTGACAAATCTTCTCCAATCAAGGCCTGCAGGGACTATGGATGTTTGGAGATACAAGGCAAGCAATGGGCCTGCATCTCCGGTCTACCAGCCATGGGGGCCATGGCTCTTTGAGAGGGGGGAGTACTGTTACGAGCGTACCCTTGACACACCCCTCAGCCCTATGGCTAGCGGGCCTTGGCGGAGGCATCCCCTACCATATCATGCCTCCTTCCCACCTACATAGTTCGGTAGCCTTATTATCCTATTCTACCTCACCCATATGACGTACCTCTATGCTGGTCCTGACAATACTTTCGAAGTCACTACTTTCTTTACTTATATCTTTTTCTTTCTTAAGAAATTCTTTAATCGTTTATTTAATAATATTATTAATCTATTTTATATTAAAGTCGTTAAGCTTTTATTATCTATTAAGAATTATTATATTTTCGTAATTTAGCGTAGCTTAGTCTAGCGTAACTTAGCGTATAACTACTTTCTTCTTTTCTTTATAGCTTTCTAGTATTAATTATTTAATTAAAACTATATTAAGAAATATCTTTCTTCTTTATAAAATTACTTATTTGAAATATATATTTACTTTTTATATTTATAATCTTAATAATTAATAATAATATCTACTTTTTTATATTTATTTACTATTCTTATTATTTTATATTAGAGACTATTTTTATATTAAGAAATTTTCTTTTATTAGAATAATACTTTTTATATTAAAAGATATTCTTTTCTTTAAATTAAAGAATCTACTTTTTTAGAGAAAATCTATTTCTTCGTTATAGAAAAGCTATTATTTTATATTTATAACGACTCGTTATTTATCTATTTCTTATTTAAAAAAAAAAAACTCTTTATAAAACTTATTTCTTTAAAGCTATCTATCTTTCTTTCTTTATAAAAATATATAAAAACTTTAAATTTAAAATTCTTATACTTTAGAATCTTTTTTAAATTTTATATAAAGTATTAAATTTCTAATATTAATTTACTTTTAGAATTAATCTAAATTTACTACTTTTTTAAAAGAAGGATTTTTTTTAAAAGAAAGAATCGCTATAAAAGCTATTCGATTCCCCTTATCTTTTTAAATAATTTTTCTTCTTTTAAAAAAAACTTATCTCTTATTTTTAATATCTTTCTTTCTTCTCGATAAAGCTTTCTTTTTATTTTCTTTTTATATCTTTTTTATAATAGAGTATAACTATTTATAATCGATAAAGTTAGAAAATCTATTCTATTAAATTTAACGATTTTACTTATCTTTTAATTTTAAGCTTTTTTAGTAAAAAATCTTAAATTTTATAAATAAATTTTTAATAAGAACGAGTAAAGGTCTATAAATTAAATTCATAATTATTTTTTTAATTAGTACTAAGATTATCGACTAAATAGATAAGCGATATTTGAATTCCTTACGCTATATTAATTATAAGACCGAATTTAGAATTTTTTTAAACTATTCAAAAGCTCATATTTCGTTCTTTCATCTAAAAAAAAAATCTTAAAATTTTAATAGAAAATAAAAGAGTTATTCTAAAATTAAATAATATATATCTATTTTTTAAACTATTCGACTGTCGAGCGAACTTTAATAAGCGATATTTGAATTCCTTACGCTTTAATAATTATAAGACTAAATTTAGAAATTCTTTTTTTATCTAAAAGCCTATATTTCGTTCTATAATTTAAAAAAGAAATATTTAAAATTTAATAGAAAATAAAAAAGTTATTTTATATGTTAATAATATATATATTAATAACGTATATCTATTTTTTTAATAATTGCGAACGCTAATTTATTTATTCGCGATAAATTAATCGATCTAATTAAAGAGCGTAGCGAACTCGAATTTATAATTAGTTATATATATAAATTTAAGATTTTTAAGCTTAATTCTATCTTATTCTATTATATATACTAATTATTATTAAATTATTAAATCGATTATATAGATTTACGATTTATCTATCGATATTCTTTATAATTAAAATTTATATATTTAACGAAGTCGATCTTAGAGTATTAACTTAATCTCTCTTTCGAAGACTACTTAATTAGAGAAATCTCTTATCTATTCTCTTTTTTAAAATTATAATTATAATTCTATAAATACTCTAATAAGAGTAGTTATTATCTTTATATATAGAGTTTATTATTATATAAATAATAATTATTTTCTTATCTAATAAGTTAAAATAACTTACTTTAAATTTAAGAATATTTTTATTCTTACGAATTTAAACTTTAACTTAAGAGATTATATAAATACTTTTTTAGAGTTATTAATTTATTATCTTCTATTTTTCTTAAAATAACTTAATTTTCTTATCTTAATAATAGAATTTCTTTTTTTAAACTTAATAAAAGTAAAGAAAGAAGATTTATTAATTTTTTTTATTATTATTTATAATACTTATATAAAAAACTTAATCTCTTTATTAATCTCAATTTCTATTTTTCTTTTTATCGCTTTTAAATTCTATATTAAAAATAAATTAAGCTTTAAAAAAATTAAATATATTAAATTTTTAAAATTTTTATATAATAATAGATTTAATAAATAGAATTCTTTTTCTATTAAGCTAAGCTATATTTAATAAAATATTAAAAAATAATAATAAAATTTTTTGGAAAATTTTAAAAAATTTTAAATATAAGATTTTCTAATAATAAATCTAATAGATTAGTTTTTAATTAATTAAAAGCTTTTAATTTAGAAAATATCGCTTTAAAATTTAATTTTAAAAAAAATTAACTTTTATAAAGTTAAAAGAGTTTTTAATAAATATCGCTTTTATCTATAGAAGTAAATTTAATAATATAATAAATTATACTATAAGCTATATAAGTAAATTTAAAAAAATTATAATTTATATTTAATATTATAAATTTGATAGATTTATAAAAAAAATTAAGGTCTTCTAGATAAGCTACTTTAAGAAAATCTAATAATAATTTTTATATTTTTAATCTAAGATTCTTTTATCTAAATTTTGCAAAATTATATAATATTAATAATATTATTTTTAATAATAAAGAAATTATATATTAAAATTTTTTTTTTTCTATTAATATATAAAGAATTATATTATAATTAAAAAAGAGAATATTATATATATAAATCTCTTAACTTTTTTTTAAAAAGCTATCTTATTTTAATAGCTAAATATTCTATTTTAAAATAAAAAGAATATAATAATATAACTCTAAATAGAATTAAAAAAAACGCTTATTTAATTATAAAATTATTTTAAAATATTTATATTCTTAGCTTTAAATTTATTTATAAAATAAATTTATAATATTAATAATATTGATAATAGATATAATTTTATAAATTATATATAAAGTATTTTTAAATATATTATATAAATAGAAATCTTTAAAAAATATATTTAAGCTATTTAGATATAAAATTACTTAAAAATTAAATTATAAATTATTATATCTTCTTTAACTTTTTAGATTATACTTTATAAATTTATAAAGAAACTTAATAATAAAAAGAAACTATAATATTATCTTAATTGCTAAAAGAATTGTAATATAAAAATATATAAAAGA